GGAGGTGTCCAGAGGCACCTGGGAGGCTGGGAGGAGGCCGTGCTTGGGGGTTGCGTGGAGCTGGAGCCCCTTTTGCTGGGAGGGGAGGGGCTGCCTTGAGAAGCCTGGAGTTGGGGTGAGGGTGAGGTGGGTGTGGCCACAGGGCCAAGCCCCCACCAGGTACCTGCCACGTGACCTTGGAATGGGCCGACCCTCCGGCTCCGCAGGGCTGCTGGGGAGCGAGGTGACATCATGGCACCGCTGGCCAAGTGCAGAGCGCTTGGTGACCTCAGCCACATTCCACGAGGACACGGCGGTGCCTGGGGTGCCAGGGGGAGGATGATTCAAGAGGCCCCCCAGGGGGAGGAGCCGGCGGGTGGTGGGACGGGCGAGCAGCAGTGGGGGACAAAGCAAGCTTTGTCCGGTGCCTCCTTTGTTGTTATCTTGTTCCTTAACCTATTTTGAATTTCAAATAACAGTCAAAGGGCAGATTTTTATGCTGCAAGAGGTGGAAGTAATTTCTTAAAGAAAAAAAAAAAAAAAGGTTGAGGCTCCAGGGTAGGTGTCCTTGTCCCTGGCTGGTGGAGGTGAGTGACCTGCCCAGGGTCACCCAGCGGGACACAGCGTCCCCGCCTGCGGTCACCGCTCGCTCGCCGGGAGGGTGACCTGTTGGCTCAAAGCTTATCACAGAGCTCCCCTGTGAGGGAGTTGGCGGGAATCCGGGCCTGGCCACGTGGACGAGCCAGGCTGGCTGGGGGCCTCGGTGTGTCCCAGGCTCTGAGTTCAAGTCGCGACCAGCCGTCGCCACGTGACCCAGAGTGGGCTCTGCCCTCTCTGGCCGTGGCCACCAGGGCGCCCTCAGCCCAGGACGTCCTAGGAAGCACCGAGGGGCAGAACCAAGAGACCCTGGGAGAAGGCCGGGGCGGGGGAGAGGGGGCACGGTCGGCTTTCAGCCCCAGCAAGCTTTTTCCCAAAACTTGTTCCTACGTCGGTTGACAAACCGTGATAAAGTCCTTCCTGCAGGCCTTCTCAGAGCCTTGAACACGCACACCCAGGTGCGCAGGAGGCGGCTGGAAAAAGCCACATCTGACCACAGGGTCCTCTTCCCAGGAAGCACCTTGAAGGCCGGGGGTGGGGGCCGCTCTGAGGAGCCTCTGGCTGGCGGTTTGCACAGCAGTACAGAGGCCCAGGCCAGGCCCCGCCTCCCTCCTGGCGTCATCAAGGTTTGGGGCTCAGCTTCACCCCGCCCCCTGTGTAGCCTTGGCCGAGTCGCTACTCTCGGTGCCTCAGTTTCCCTCCTCTAATGTGGTGCCGCCTCTGGGACGGGCTGAGTGACAGCTGCAGGTGACGCACTCGTAGGTGGGCGGGCCTTGAGAGGTCACCGCCCCTTTTGGCAGATTCACATCTTATTTTTATTTTACTTTTTTTTTTAAGATAAGGGAACTTCCGCTGTTCCCTGTTTTTTTTTTTTTTACATTAAAGATTTATGTATGTATTTGAAAGGCAGAGATACATAGAGAGAAGGGGAGACAGAGAGAGCTTCCATCCGCTGGTTCAAGCCCCCAAATGGCCGCAACGGCTGGAGCTGATCCAGGCCAAAGCTAGGAGCTTCTTCCTGGTCTCCCATGTGGGTGCAGGGGCCCAAGGACTTGGGTCATCTTCTGCTGCTTTCCCAGGCCACAGCAGAGAGCTGGATCGGAAGAGGAGCAGCCGGGACTTGAACCGGTGCCCATGTGCGATGCCAGCTCTGCAGGCAGAGCCTTAGCCCACTGTGCCACAGCGCCAGCCCCCAGATTCACATCTTAAGGGGCGGCTGGGTGGCTTTGGTCAGTTCCTGTGTAAAGGCAGCCACAGTCCTGGTCTCAGACGCCATCAGTACGTCTTTGGTTCTGGAACTTTCTCTGCCCAGACCGCAGCAGCGTGGCCCCCACTGTGGTGTCACCGCACGTGGCTCACTCTCCTCTCTGTCCCTCCAGGTCTCTGCCCCTGTGGGGCACCTCGTGGGCTTCTCTCTGAGCCGGGCCTGGAGACACAGCCACGCCCCCCTCCAGCCTCAGCCTCCGGGGCCAGCACCTCAGGAGAGCCGAGCCGAGGGGTGGGCTCTGAGCCGCGGTCCCGGCGGGCATGGCCCAGCGCTCCTGAGCAGCCCGAGCTGATGCCCGGCCCCCAGGGGGCCGGTGGAGCCCCCGCCATGAGCCTGGGCAAGCTCTCGCCCGTGGGCTGGGTGTCCGGCTCGCAGGGAAAGCGGCGGCTGACGGCCGACATGATCAGCCCGCCGCTCGGGGACTTCCGCCACACCATGCACGTGGGCCGCGGCGGGGACGTCTTCGGCGACACCTCCTTCCTCAGCAACCACGGCGGCAGCTCCGGGAGCGCCCACCGCTCGCCCCGCAGCTTCCTGGCCAAGAAGCTGCAGCAGGTGCGGAGGGTGAGGGCCCCGCCCCGGCGCATGGCCTCCCCGCCAGCACCCTCGCCGGCTCCGCCCGCCGTCTCGCCCATCATCAAGAACGCCATATCACTGCCGCAGCTCAACCAGGCCGCCTACGACAGCCTGGTGGTGAGCAAGCTCAGCTTTGACAGCAGCGCCACCGGCTCCCCGGACGGCCACTCCGCTTACGGTGAGGGCCTGGCTCGCTTGCCCCAGGGGCTTGTGGGGTGGGGAGTGAAGAGGAGGGGCCCACTGTCCTCCCCACGCAGTGCTCGCTTGCTGTGCAATGTGGGCCAGCCTCCACCTCGCCGGGCCCTCGGCTGGGCCAGCCAACCCCCAGGTGATGTCCTGGACACGTGGGAGCCAGGGCACTGGGTTCGAGTCCTGGCTCTGCCTGATTCCAGCGCTTCCAGGGTCAAGGCCATACCCGTGTGCAGAGCCCCGTGGAGTCATTACCGACACACACTGGGGTCAGAGACTGGCACACAGTAGGTGCTCAGGACACTTGAGATGTCCTTATGTGAACAAAACTTCCCATAATTTCGCAGACTTGAGTGCAAACCAGGTGCCCGGCCTCGGCCTGGGAACCATGGATCCCTGCTGCCATCTGGTGGTTGTTTCCTGCCTTGCAGCTTTGGCCCCCACCTCCTCACAAGAGGCATCCCTCTGCTGCACCCTAGGGGGCTGTGTAGAACCCTACCTTGGTCCCCTGGGGTACCAGGCCTGCAAGTCCGACTTAGTGCACTCAAACCCAGACTCTGGCTTCGCTGCACGTGCACAAGCTGTGACTTCCTGCTGAGCCTCACCCGCCGTGTGCAAAGTGGGAATGGGGGTTAGGACCATCCTCGGTTCTCAGGGTTGCCGAGAGGGTGCCAGGAGAGGCCATGGTTCTCGCCTGTGTTGAGAACAAGGGAGAAGCAGGCCAGAGAGGGCATTGGCCTGCCTGAGGCCACACAGCCAGCCAGGGTCGGTCCTGAGTCTCTGCGCAGTCCCTGGCCGGGGACCCCTTCTCTGATGCCGCTCCCTCGTTCCCTGCTAGGCATGGACTCCGGCTTCTGCACCATCTCCCGCCTGCCTCGCACGGAGAAGCCTCGCGATCGCGACCGGGACCGCGACAGTTCCTTCCCTGCCGAGCCCGAGCTCCGCCGCTCCGACTCTCTCTTGTCCTTCCGCCTTGACCTTGGGCCTTCTCTCCTCAGTGAGCTGCTGGGGGCCATGAGCCTCTCAGAAGCCCCCGCCGCTGAGACCCCAGCCCCTGCTGCAAACCCTCCAGCCCCTGCCCCAAGCCCCCCAGCCCATGGACACTGCCCCAATGGTGTGACTGCTGAGTCGAGGGCTGGCACAGTGGCCGAGGGTCCCCGAGCACCTGCCGCCACAGCCGGAGCCCTGGGCAGGCACTGGGGAACCAGCTGGGGGCCCAGCTGCCCCTACACTGAGATGGATGCCCGGCGGGAGCTGGTGGGGGTGCTGCCCCAGGCCCGGGCCTCCTGGGAGAGCCTGGACGAAGAGTGGCCGCCCCCCGAGGCAGGCAGCAGGACCCCCGTGCCCAGCACCGTGCAGGCAGACACCTTCGGGTTTGCTGGCGCCGAGGAGGATGATGAGGTGAAGGTGTGAACGCTGGGGCGGGGGCTCAGGACGCCCCCCTCCCTGGCCTGGGCCAGGGCTGGCTCCTGCAGGGATGGGAGAGCCCCTGCCGCCCCCACACTGCTCCACGTCTCTGTGGGCCGGACGTGGGAGGGGGCAGAGGACAGCACGCTCGCCCCGGGACCGGGGTCCCCAGCAAGCCGTCCCCGGCTCACCTGCCTCCCCCACTGCCACTCAGGCTGGGCACACTTCCTTAGGCCCGCCCCCTGCACTCCCTCTCACTGTGTGGCCCTTGTGCCAGAGGGATCTGTCCCCCCTTACGGTGGGGATGGGGCGTGCAGCACGCAGAGCCATCCACGCCTCTCGGGGCCCCTGCCACTCCCCAACATCCTCCCCACCTTGTCCTCAAAGCCTCAGAGAACGGCCAGGTGTGCCCTCACGGGGGGACCCCCTCCTGTGTACCCCAGATCTGCCGCCCCGAGGCCTAATTAAAAAGCTGTTTTGATAACGGTGTCCTGCGAGGAATTTGGGGGCTTGGGAGGGCAGCGTGGGCTCCACCTGTAGCAGGTCCCTTTCTGCCGGGAAGCTGCGAATGTTAGGGACCCCCCCCCCCCCGCGAAGGCCCCCAACCAGGGGAGGGAGGCCCAGGCAGGGGTAATGAGTAACCGGCCTGGAATGCCCTGTGATAAGAGGCCCAGGTGGGAGCCTTATCTGCAGTTCCGGGAGCACCAGGTGCCTGGAGCCAGCGTCAGCAGCCCCAGAAGCGCCGGCACCTGGCATCTGCTCCCCTGATAATGGGGGCCAGGGAGACGGGAGCCTGGCTCGGCTGGTGGGGGGGTGCCAGGGTGCCGGTCCATGGCCTCCCTGCGAGGCAGCCTCGCGCCTCACACCTGGGAGCACTCCCCAGGGTTCCAGGTAAAGGTGGGTTCTTCCCGGGGAGGATCTGGAGGTGTGTGGGGGGGTGAGGGCTGCTGACCCCGGCGCGACCAGGAAGAAGGCTTGCGGTAGGCACCCTGGCTGGGGTCTTTTATTCCGGCTCATTCGAACTTGAAGGAGGAGATGCTGAACCCACCCTGCACGCCCAGGTAGCTCAGGTGGCTGTGGCCCAGCCTGTTGGGAAAGGTCAGCTCGTGGCCGTCCGGCAGCTTCACCTTGAACTTATCGCCCTCAAAGGTCATCGTGAGCTGTGGAGGGAGGGTGAGGGGTCAGGGCAACAGGAGGGGCCCCGGGAAGGGGCCGGGGTGGTGCCTGGCGGCCCAGACGGTGCCAGTGTGCGGGCTGGGCGCTCCCCCCGCACCTCACCTTGACCTCTGACCCCGGGCTGAAGCACAGGTGGTTTTCCCGTTGCTCTCTTCCCCACTGGCTGCCGTCCCGGGAGTTGCAGACAATGGTGGATTCCTTGAAGCGGGGGTTGAAGTGGAGGCCCAGCTTGTCTGTCCCCTGGCCCAGGTTAATCACGAAACTGCAGGAGAGGGACATGGTGGGCGCACGCTGGGGGATGGGCATTGAGCTGGTGCCTTCGAGCTGGGGGCGTGGCCACAGGGGCGGTGGTGGAAGTCCAGGAATGGGGGGTGTCTGTCTTGAAGGACAAAATTGCTGTCCTTGGCCATAAACAGGAGCCCCCACTCCCATGGTGTCAGGTCCCTGGGAGCAGGTTCTGGGTCATGGGTGCCTGCACGTCCGTGAACTTGAGGGAGTCACCCTTCTCTCGGCTCTCGCCCCGTGCATCTGCCTGCCTCCTTCCCAGCCAAAAGTGTAGGGCAAGCTGTCCCCAGCACCCTTGAAATCGCCCTGTCCAGCTGTGACTGGCTGGACGCCTGCGGTTCTGACCAACAGGATGCAAACGAGGCTGCTTGGCGCCCCCTGGTGGCTGCCTCTGATTTTTGCCAGCCAGAGGCCACGGCCCAGGTTCCCTGGGGCGGGGGCGGGTGGGGGGCAAAGAAGCAAAGTAAATGGGCATCAGCTCTGGGCCTATAGAAGGGGAGCCAGCAGGGCTTCTTGGGAGGGGCTCCTTGTTCTGTCCCCCCGCCGAGGTGGACATCCCCCCACTTGCTCACCCGTCACAGTTGTCATCAATCTTGCCCTTGAGCTTCAGGGAGGTGCCCGCCCTCATGTCCATGTTTGTGATCTCAAACTTCTCCTGTGGCAACAGAGAAACAGCCCACTGGAATCCATGCAGGACCATCAGCCCTCAGCACCCAGCCCCTGACTGCCGGGGGAGCAAGGGCACGGCCAGAGGCACCCCCTCCCCTGCCCACGCGCAGGCACCAGATGCTCGGACCCAGGCCTCCCACAGCCCCCTCACCCCAGCCCAGCTGGAAGAACAGCTGGACCTGAAGGCACAGGGCCCGGCTCCCGGAGCCTCGCTTTGCCCAGCTATGAAATGGGAGGAGTGGTGTCCCTGCCCATCTCACACTTCCCCAAAGTGTTCAAACCCCAGAATCCGGACTAGGAGACACAGATCTTGGCCCATCCAACACTAAGAGCCAATAGATCTGGGGGCTGGCGCTATGGCACAGTGGGTTAAAGCCCCAGCCTGCAGCACCAGCATCCCGTATGGGCGCCGGTTCGAGTCTCAGTTGCTCCACTTCCAATCCAGCTCCCTGCTAATGCACCTGGGAAAGCAGCAGAAGATGGCCCAAGTCCTTGGGCCCCTGCACCCATGTGGGAGACCCAGAAAAAGCTCCTGGCTCCTGGCTTTGGCCTGGCTCAGCCCTGGCTGCTGCAGCCATAAGCCCCATGTCTGGATGTGTCTCTACAGCACCCCTTCTGTAAAATGGGCCCATTTTACAAGGGCAGTTGGTTGAGGGAGGAGTCAAGGTCACAGCTGCAAAGCTGAAGCCCAGCGCCCGGTGCAGACCAACGTCAAGGCCAGGGGCAGCCACTTGTCATCACTCATCTGTGCTTCAGCTGCCCGGCCAGCACCCGGGATTCCTTACCTTCCTCCATCTGCCCTGCCGTTAACAGAGGCTCCCCAGGCTGGGGGGTGAAGCTCATTACCCAGGCCTGGGAGGTGAGGCCTGGGAGCATGCTCTAGGCTGTGCTCCACTTAACAGCCAGATGCCAACACAAGACAGGTGGCATTGGGTGTGCATTCAGACCCACACGGATGCGGAAGTGTGCGTGCTGGCCAGGGATCCTTTCCACACTCAGCAGGCTGCAAGGCTGGGAGAGAGAGGGAGGAGAGAGAGAGAGGAGAGAGAGAGAGGCGAGGAGGCAGAGTGGGGACCAGGGTTGCTCCGCAGAGCTGAGGAGTCCAGGGACCAGTGTCTCGTGGTGGCTCTGCCCTAAGTGGCTGAGTGACCTGAGCCAGCCTTGCCCCTCTCTGGGTCTTGGTGCCTCCATCGGTAACAGGAGGGGTTTGAATTAGGTGGTCTCAGAGAAGGAGAGAGAGGGAGGGAGAGGGGAGGGGGAGGGGGAGGGGCAGTACCAGCAGAGCAAAGAGAAGTGGGGAAGGCCCCCAGGGCCACGCTGCCCCTCCTGGGAGCAGGGGTGAGGCATTGCCCTTCCCCAGCAGGGGTGAGGCCCTCCATGCTGGATCCTCAGCAGCCCCGGTCACACCCGGCCTCCCACCTGCTCTGGCTTGCACAGCGTCCCCCAGTATCATGTCCCCCTGGCATGTGCAAATGCGATCTTTCCAGAAGCAACCCCTCTGCAGGTGCAGCCAAGATGAGGGCGGCCCCTGACCAGTCAGAGACAGACACACAGAGGGGCCGTGAAGACAGAGACCGAGAGACAGACACACAGAGGGGCCATGAAGACAGAGACCGAGAGACAGACACACAGAGGGGCCGTGAAGACAGAGACCGAGAGACAGACACACAGAGGGGCCGTGAAGACAGGCAGAGACCGAGAGACACAGCTCCGGAAGCCCTGGCTGCAGGCAGAAGCTGCAAGGGACAGGAAGGACTCTGCTTCAGGGGCCTCAGGACCTTGAACTGCGACCCCCGGAGCTAGGGGACGGCGAGCGACGGCCCGTTGAGGTGTTGGGTCACAGGGAATGAAACAGCTTCCAACCCACAGAGGATGCCTTCTACATGGGGGCGGCGGGGCTCAGACAGGGCAGTGACCGCCCCACGGCCACGCAGCCAGGCTGTGGCTGAGCCAGGAGTGGACTCAGAGAGCCTCGCTCGAGCCCTGCAATTTATAGATTGTGACCTCGGCCAGTTTAACTCTGAGCCTCAGTCGCTGCGTCTATAAAGATGCTACGTCGATGTTCGCAGCTAATTATTGCTAGTACTGTTATTACTCTTATTGCTGATGAGAAAGCTAAAGCCAGAGAGAGAGAGAGACAGGCCCAGGCTCCCACGGCGGGACGATGGCAGAGGGGGCAGAGACCTCGGGGCCAAGGGGCCGCGGGGCCATCTCCCCAACGTCCTTGCCACGCACACAGGGAAAGAGGACCGAGGGCGGTGTCCATGTGTTCTCCTGAGGGCCCCGGCCCCCAGCCCCAGCAAAGACACAGAGAAACGCGGGGAAGTGGGCTGGGGGCTGGCCTCCTCACCGACATGGCGACAGCTCCTGGCGACCAGCGGCGACGGCTCCGGCAGCAGCTCCTATGCCCAGGGCCACCAGTCTGAGTCAAGCTTATATCCTGCGCTATTACACATTAACCCTCCAAGGCCATAAATGAGAACTTTGGCCCCTCCCTTCCAGGCGTCTCCAGAGCAGCAGGCTGAGGACCCCCATCTTGCCTCTGCATCCCCCCAGCCCCAGCCCAGCCTCCAGAGCCTGAGGGGAGCAGCCCCAGCTCCACCCTTGAGCAAACCACAGCCCCGTGGCCCTCAAAAGAGACTTGCTCTGAAAAAAATCTCCCAGCTCTGCATTTTCTGCAGCGTCCTGATGCATAGGAGGGTCCCTTTGTCCCCGCACCCCGTTATTCTGTGATCGTCCAGGTGGGCTTTAAGAGGGACACCTGGGGGACTCAAAGGAAACATCTAGAAGTCTCTAGAAGGGAGGGGGGCTGAGCTGGGGGTGGGGAGTCACCCACCTTGGGGCTGTGTCTATTGCTTGTCTACTCTCAGAGAGATTAAGCACGAACAGAAACGGCCGCTCCCAGCCCTGCCGCGCTGGCCGCCGCCTCCCAGCCTCTTCCATGTCGTGGACACCCCCTGCCGGGGCGGCCGGGTGGCCGGGTGGCCGGGGCGGCCCTGGGTCCCGTTTCAATCAGGAAACCGAAATCACCCATCGCTGTTTCCAAATTGTATTTTAATGGTTGAGAAATGCTGGACCTCTCGATGGCTGGATTGATGTCACCAATTTCCTCCGCTCAACAGCGAACCTTCATTCCCTACGTTTGCAGTTAAAAATATTGCGGCCTTAAATCTCGCTGCACACTGACAGCGAGCGCAGGACAGACTCCCGGGGTGACGCTCCAGCTCTGTCCTGGCTCTGAGCACTTCCCATCGGAGCTGGCAGTGGTGGCGCTGGGCGGGGTGCGGGGCAGCCAGCCCCTCCCCGGGGCCCTCGGGGGCTCACTGCCTGGTACGCAAACACAGGACCCCACCCTCAGCCCACACCGTCCCTAGTGGATAGCTTCCTTCACTTCACCCACAAGGAAATCAGTCCCTTCTCGGCCTTTCTTCCAGGGCCTCGGTAAACCCCAAAGGAGATAAAGGGCTTTAAGGTTCTCGCCCCGAAACTCAGCCAACAGAAACCACAGCAGTTAAAGGTGCTTTTCTGATTGTGAGACTGATACTAGCTGGCCGCACACACTGGCCGTTTGCAGAGAAAGTGCGGGCTGGAGAGAACTAACTGCAGGGCTGCCTGGTGAAAACCGGATGCTTGACGGCAAGGAAGCTCCGTCGACTTCTGGTGCGTGCGTTTGACACCACTGAAAGAGTTTCACAGCCAACCAGAGTGATGTCGGGCTTAGCGACTGAGACCCCGACCTGGGCTCCGTTCCTGGCTCTGCTCCCGGTTCCAGCTCCCTGCTAATGCGCGCCCTAGGACGCAGCGGGGGGTGGCTCAAGTATTTGGGTCCCTGCCACCCATGGGGAGACCTGGCTTCCAGCCTGGCCTGTTGCAGGCATTTGGGGAGTGAACTAGCAGGTGGGAGATAACACTCTCTGTCTTTCAAACCAATTAAGCGAATCAGTTTTTAGAAATCCTTTGTGTAGTGTACTGGCCGTCCCTGAGAGGGCCCTCCGCCGTCCCCAGCCCCTGGCACTCACCAATGACACCTGAGGCCAGCTACAGCGCTGTAGCCATGTGGACGGCCCCAGCCATTGAAGCCATTTGAGGAGTGAACCAGCAGGTGGAGGACCTCTCTCTCTCTCTCTCTCTCTCTCTCTCTCTCTCTGTGTGTGTGTGTGTGTGTCTTCTTTCTGTGTAACTCTGACTTTCAAATCCATAAATAAGTATTAAAAAAAAAGAATTGCAATTGTCTTCTAATTGAATCTCCTTTATTTAAAAAACAAGTTTATTTAAAAGGCAGGGCATCAGAGAAATGGAGAGACAGAGGGAATGAGAGAGAGAGAGACCCTCCAGGGGCCAGTGCCATGGTGCAGTGGGCTAAGCCTCCACTTGCAGCACTGGAGTCCCATATGGGTGCCAGTTCTAGTCCCGGCTGCTCCACTTCCAATCCAGCTCTCTGCTGTGGCCTGGGAAAACAGCAGAAGATGGCCCGAGTCCTCGGGCCCCTGCACCCACGTGGGAGACCTGGAGGAAGCTCCTGGCTTCAGATCAGCTCAGCTCCGGCCACTGAGGTCATCTGGGGAGTGAAGCAGCAGGTGGCAGAGCTTTCTCCCTGTCTCCCTCTCTCTGTAACTCTGCCTCGCAAATAAATAGACAACAGCTGAGAGAGCGAGAGCGAGCGAGCGAGCTTCATCCACAGGTTCACTCCCCAAACGGTCGCAACACTCTTCTCATAAATGCAGTGAAAGCTGTGACTTTTCCTCTGAGTCTTGGCCTCTTCTTGTAGAATTTGAGTTCTCAACATTCAAAATCTGACTCTTCACTCAAGCCAGATGGTCGGAAAGTGGTCGCCACCACCCGGAAAGCACTGGGTGGAGAGACTCACTGATTCGTTAACTGACTTCATTACCCTCGTCCTCCCTGGGGAGAAGGAAGGGGAGACACCCGCGGTCGGGCTCGGCTGAGTTAATGACCCCAGGAACGCAGGCGCGCGCCTCTGACAGC